AACGTGGCTTCTGCTGCCATAGCAACAGCTACTGCCGCTGTTCCCCTGCAAAACCCGGCATCCGGCACTGCAAACACTGCCCCCACGGACACTAACAAGAATCCTCCTCAGTCAAATACAAGACCTACACAAAACGAACCACCTCAGCATGGAAACGGAGGCATCGCCGAGCATCCACAAAACACAGAGAAGACCATCCCGCCACACGGCAGCCCACAAAACAGAAAACTGAACAAGATGCTGCTGCAGTCAGCCAAGCCATAGGCCAGACGCAGCCTGGCCACAAATTGTTGCCTGGTTTATATGTTGTTACCCTTTTTCCCTAAAAACACTCGTGTCCCCATTCCTCAACCCATGCCATAACCTTCTTGAACCCTATACCATCTCCCCCATCCTCAGTTTTTAGTAAATAGAAAAAGGGGGGGAAAGAATGGAGAAAAGAGACAAGGGAGAAAACCCTAAACCTCCCCCTTCCACCATAAGGATAACAAATCTTGCTCATATTCCCTGTGAGAAGCCCCATCCTTGTCTAAAGATGAAAATTATCTCCGTTGGTGCTGTTCTCACTGCTGCCTGGATGCTCTTCACCATGTCACCCACCTTCGGCTGGATTAGCCCACAGCCTAACCATGATGTTTGGGTGACCTTAGCAAGGACAGTGAAAGAAGATAACCTGTGTCTATCTATGAGCAGTGTTGACAACCCACTTTCCACGTGTCCGGTAGGGATTCCCTTGGTAGCAGATGACTGACTGGCCCCTCTCTAATTCAGAGCTCCTCCACACCACAGCTAAGAGACCCAATCCGGTAGACACTTGGCATGAGTGGACAAAAATTCTGCCAAATGCTCTGGAGGAACCCCAAGAATTGGACCTGCTGGGGTCCTCCAAAGCAACATACTGTGTCAAACTTTATTTTAGATGACCAAGTGATCATTGGCCAGGAATTGACCAGGCAAAAAACATCAAAGATGTATCACCAATTAGCAAAGCCTACAATAATTTGAATTGGTGTAATTACGCCAGCAGCACACTTTCTGTGTCCTCTCTTCACCCCAAAGTGTTGCCCTGGGGAATGTTTTTATCTGTGGTGATGGAGTTTGGGCTGGAATCCCCTCCCGTCTCCAGAGGAGTCTCTGTAGCTTTGGCAAGCTTTCTATCCTCACCCCAAATATCACATTGTTACATAATTGGAAACAAAAAACCAAACTGGCATGTCAAGAAAAATCCTGTTCAGAATTCAATGAAAATTGCGACAGCCAAATTTACAATTGGAACCTAGGAAAGCAAGTTGTGGCTTCACTGTTTTACCCATGGGTAGCCACAGCTAAAGCCCTTGGTGACATAAATCACCTGGGGTGTTGGCTTAGCAAGCAGGCCAATGCAACATCTGCTGCCCTGAGTGATCTCTTAAAAGATGAGGAGACCACTAGACACGCCTATCTACAGAATCAAGTAGCAATCGACTTCCTACTACTCGGACATGGCTGCAAGGACTTTGAATGGATGTGCTGCTTCAACCTCTCTTCAATTTCAGAATTCGTCCACGTGAACATCCAGAAACTGAAGGAACTAGTGAAGGACTTAAAAGTGGAAAACACCCTGGGCTGGGTCAATGACCTTCTCAGTCAATGGGGACTAATGGGATGGGTGTCATCTTTAGTTAAGGGAATTTTGTGGACTTTTATTGATTATTGTTGTATTAGCTACGTTCTCATGCCTTCTTCATTGCTTCAAAAGAGCTATAGTGAATGGCTTTTTACTAAATACAGAGAGAGGAGTTGTGGAGAGGCCCAGTCCTCCGACAGGCATCCTCCCTGGAGATCTGTCCCCTAAGATAAGATAAAACTGCCTAGTCATCATGACTAAGCTGTGGACCCCTTCCTGCTTCAGGAGCCCATGTTATCTCCCTGTTAACTATTGGTCAACTTATCCCCTCTCAGACCATTGGTTCCCTTCCCAACCCTCCCCTTCCCTATAAAAACCCCAGCTTTTACCCAGTTCAGGGTTAGACCATCACTGGCCCCCTTCACAGAAGCCTGCATTAAAGACTCTGCAGAATGTTATATGGTCTTTCCGTCTCTTGTCTGCGTCGGCAGGGGGACCACGAAAGGAGCTGGCTAGGCTGAACAGAGCTGATCACAGAGCAGAAAATGCTGCTGAAAGAGCTGGTCACCTAAAACCCCTGCCCATGCCCCTAAAGGTTACCCCTGGCTGGAGACTGCCAGGAAACCCCGGATGGTGGCTCTCCCCCAGGATGTTTATCTGGCCTTGTTGCCAGCGGAAGCTGGGGGTCAGACAGGGCCCTAAGACCCAGCCTGCAACAACGTACTGGCAATATGTGAAAGTAATGGGCTGCTCTGATGGTTCTTTGAAGAAAGGAAAGCCTAGCAGGGAGACGGCAGATTCTGTATTTCCCTCTCTTCTACCTCTTTCCAAACAAAGCAGGGTCACAGCACTGGAGGGGTATTTCTGGTGAAAAATAATATATTTACCCCAACACTGTGTACATCATTCATGCAGAACAGTAAAGCATTCGGTGCAGTGGGAAAGTGTCATCTTCCAAATGCTGCAAAACCCACAAACAGACAAAAGTTACATTCAGTTCCTAAGTATGAAGAAATACACATAAAAAGGAGACCTCCTACCAAGATGGCAGAAAGCACAAACAAAAGGAAGAAGGAAAGGACAGTATGATACCCCTTTGTGTCCTGCTGTTTTTTATTATTATGGAGTGCTCTACTTACACAGTATGTGCAATAAGAACATACTTGTATAGTAAGGTAGTCAACCAAAATCATCAGCAGAAAAATCATGGGAAAAGTTATTTTTTCCAAGTGCTTTTAGTAATTATACAAGTTCAGAAATTAACCTTAACAAGTTCAGAAATTAACATAGGTGAAGTGTTATCTCAAGAAACACTTTGTCATTTGCACTGTGTTTGTGAGACACTGCTGAAAACCCACAGACCTCCTGAAATCTGCCACAGTGTAAATGTCTGCTTCAGTCATGTTCCATTTCTCTGTAGAGGAAACTAGATTAAAGACTTAGCACTCTACAGAGTGAGGTCTACGATAATCGCCAGGTGGAAACGCATCATATCTGAGAATCTAAGACATTTTCCTTCTTTTCTAAGACATCTTTAATTTAATCCTGACCAGTCACAGGAAGACAGTGAAATATATATAGTCAACTATATATATATAAATTGTCAACTAGTTAATACACCAAACAAAAAAATCAACCTCTTTTCCCCCCTCATTTATTTCCCCCAAGCCTCTTCTATAATCTTTTCCTTTCAACACATCCCAACTACTTGAAAACCACAGGCTTCCCCATGCTATTGGATTGGTTGAGTTTTGTAATGGCTGCTAGTGTGAAAATCCTTCATAATAATTTAACACAAACAAATAGTTTTAGCTAGTTCCCTTTAGTACATATGCTTATTTTCCTCAGGTCAATTTAAACAAACTTCTAATTAGTAATTTATTAAAAAGTAATTTAAATAAAATACATAATAAAACTGAAAAAAAGTATTTTCTAGTAAGATGTTTGAAAGCTGATAGGAACATGCAATTCAGGTATCATGTTAATTTTTAATTACCGTTTGTATGAGATCATTTCAGACATGCTAGAAACATAGAAATTATCCAATATATAACGTTGGCAAATATATTTACAAATACATTCCAGAGATACTGACAAATGTTGATACATAAGAATAAAAGCCATCAATTAAAATGAAGGCAGTAGATAATAATCCTTATGGTGGAAAAGTTATTTCAAAATGTGACTTTAACCACATCCTCTTTAGTATGTACTTATCAACATTCCTACAGTCTTCCTGAATCTACACACAGTCTGTGACATTTTAGAAAGGCATATAAATATCCATTTCATGTTAAAAGAAAGTCTCCCTCTGAAAACCACGTATAATAATTAGACATTAATAATCAATGACTATATCCATGTTCTGACCTGGTCTGTGCTCTCTTGGAGCTGTGAGACACCGCAAAGGCTGCAGGAGGACCACCATCTCTTTGGAACAACAAAGAGCAGGAATTAATAATCCAAGGTCTTAGACTTCAAGGGAAGGAAAAGGGAAAAGAAAGGGAAAGGAAAAGGCACACTGAGAACTTCTTTCAATTCTAGCATCTCATAACTGTAACCCAGCTCCAGTGCTTTCCAGGGTGGCCAAACCTCCTGACTTCATCTCCCACACCTGCTCATCCAGCTTCCTTATACCTTCAACACAGAGCCCATTCTGTCCAGTGAACCTGAAGAACACTTAGTCTATGGAAAAGACTGCATCTGAGCACAGCACAAAACTGAATTTATGTTCCAGCAGTTAACATGAGGAACAAACACAAGGAATAAATTACTTCTAAGCTTTGTGCTTTTCATAGTAACAGCTTAATTTCTGAGCTTACGTGTAGCTGCCACATAGCTTGGAGTTTACTGCAGATCCACAGCTGTCTTGCCATTTTCATCACATATGTAACAGGAAGGAGTGTTCTCTTCTTTCTAGGAAGCGAATGAAAGACACAGGTGGCTTGTGGGTATTTATTTAACCCACATTCCAGTCATTTAAGTAATGCCCAGGGGAAGGAAACAGGAAAAGGAAAAACAGAGACAGTTTTAACTCAGCTTAATAATCTCCAAGCCATCTGTCCACACCTTTACATGCACAAAAGCCATATAAGTGTGCCATGCTGACCATAAGTGGTGGCCAAATCAACAGTCTATCCCTCTATATGGGCAAACTCTCAAAGAACTGGGCTGCAAACAAATAGTTTGTTGCATGACACAGCTGATGTTCAAGACTATAATCACGTAGTACACACCTGATCTAATTGGGATTCAGCCTTGATAACAGGCCTTTATCATCAGCACAAGAGGATATAATAAAGCTTCCACAATTAAGTGAGCAACAAAACTATTTTCCCGCTTTCTTTCTTTTAGTAGTTTCTTTATGATAGAATAAGCACTGAAGTTAGTGCTCTTAACATTTATGATACATGTTTTGGTTTAAGTTTAGAATTTTTTTGTGCTAAAAGCAACAAGCTTTGTCCATTGCAGTTCCTATTTAGCTGCCACAGGCTGCAAAGCAGAGAGACACTAGGGATTTGCAAAGCCCAGCACTGTGCTCCAAGGTGGAACCTTGCTGCTCAGCAATCTTTCCAGAGACTACCATGGTGTTTCCAAGGCAGAATTACCACCTCTTTTACTTATGTGCAAGTTTCGGAGTACTTTTGCCCCCCTTCTTCCATCCAAAATCCCAGTTTGTGCTATTCTATCTCTGTTCAACCCCACAGCTCCTCAGCAATGCCCCTGCAAAGAGAAGCATGGGGAAGGTGACTGCAAGTTCAGCCTCGTCTCAGAACCTTCCTGACACAGGTGCAGGGGCCAGCACCTCCCCAGCTCCTCCGGAGGGCTGGGGAAAAGGGGACAGTTAAACGCATGTTAAGGGAATTAATTTAGGTCTTGTTGAGACTTTAAAATAAACATCTCCAGAAAGGAGTGCTGGGGAGAGTCACAAATCTACACTGGCCAGCCTGTGCAGCCATGTCCACAAGGCAAAAGCTGCTCAGCTGCACCCACACTATACTCCAAGCCATGACAGCCCAGTGACGCCCATAGCCTTCCTGCCATTGTCTCAGCCCTTCAGGACAGGCATCCCCACAGCCCTCTATACCAACAGCCTTACCTGCTGGGGGAACTCAGACTGTCATGTGAGAGAGCAGGAAAGTGGAACCATATGGCTGTAGGGCAGGAGGCCCAGTGCCTGCCACTATGGGACTGCCTTGCCCAGGCCACTAGAACCCGTGAAGCCAGAGAATTCCTACCAATGTAGAAATTATCTTCTCTTTGAGTACCTGAGGGAACAAAACAGTCCATGAGATTACTGGAGAAGAGCAACTCTGCCCAGATACACAGGAGATCCTGCTAGAAATGTCTCAACTCCAACTAAATGCTAACAGTGATTTTAAAAAAAGAGTATAAATATGGGAACTGAAAAAGCATGGAAAGCTGCTCTCCACCTGGTAGGCTCCTCCTGGCTGTATAAGCAATTAGGAGACCTCAGGGAAAAAAAACAATCCCAAGATGAACAACTGCCCTTACACTGTGGTGTGGTGTTTTTGCTGGTAGAGCCTGTGCGGTGCTGCAGGAAACAGTGGCAAGAAAGGGGAACTGAAAGCAGTGGAAGTGCTCTGAGAACCCACCTTCACAGTTTCTCCTTGACTGCTCCCTGTGGCCAAAACCACCCAGTTAGGGCAACTGGTGGCAGAAAGGGGTTGTGTGAACATGTGAGGGCATTGGATTGAGCAGAGAACCAGGGCATCTCCCACTGTCCATGGCCCCGTGGGATGCCTCAGCCCATGCCTACATCCAATCCCCACTGCTGGCACTTAGCCATCCCTCAGAGCATCCTCCCTTCAGGCCATCAGAAACCAAGGCAATGGCCAGTCTTTCTTACTGACATCCCCATCCCTAAATACATTTTCACCATGGAGACTGTCTCCCTCACTCATCTCTCATCCCAGGAGATGCAACTTTGTGGGACTCCAACTCCTGCTTGTTAGCTCAAGCCAAAAGGAATAACTATCAACTAAGAATAAATACTAATTAACCTGAATCTTTCATCATATCGTGATCTGAACCAGATGCTATCTCTAACTTTAGGCTGCTTTGAGATGCAACCTCTATCTGTAGCAGGCAAAAATAAGATTCCTTCTTTTGATAAAGTTAATTGTGGGCCTCAACAAGACACATTTCTTGGCAATACTGTGCTCTTATCTTTAAATGCTGTGAACTCACAAGGGTTTGAAAGGTCTTACATTTTAAGTGGCTTCCATATGAGTTTTGTGACTGAGAATTCAATCTAGGAAACTTCCCATGTCGTGCTGGAGAAAGAGGTGCAGTGAAGACAGCTTTAACACTGCACACAAGCACTGAATAGAGGCTGTCTCAGAACATGCAGCCAAAGGCTTCACAAGAGCACAGCCAAGATTTAGCCCCCCAGTGGAGGGGACAGTGGGCTGAAAGCCATACTGTATCTTCTGTTGAGCTGGTTGAAATCCATAATGCTTTATACTGGTTTTAGTATCAGAGAAATAATAGAGCAGAGTTAAAACCAAAGATTCATTTGCCAAATTGTATCAACATTTTCAAAGCTGCTTTGTTTTGATTTTTTTCATTTGTTGTAATTAGCTCCAATGCTTTCTAAACTACTAAAAACCACTGTTAAAAATCCCTGTAACAACACTGTGTTTTTCATTATGGCTATTGGTACTTATGCAGACAATATACACAAACCAGACATACTGTAAAATCCAAGACCTTTCATAAATGCAGCTGTGTTCTTTTGCATAAAAATAAGTAATTTGGGGGAAAATATTCTTTGATATCAAAAAACAGTGACAGGGATACCAAATAACTCTTGGCAAGAGCTGCGCAAAGCTAAACTCTGCCCAGTTCCACCTCTCAGGCACCTTCTGTGCAACAGTCTACACTGGTAACTAGGATTAGCAATTAAATCTTCACACCACTTCAGCATGGACATATAACAAACCTGCAGATGAGGTCATAAAATTAAGCCTCTACCATTTTGAAGTTGCATAAACAGTGTTTAAGTGGTCTAATGGTGGGATTTGTTTGTATGGCACAAATTGCATCATATATAGCAGCTCAGCAAGTCCAAAGATGTGTCCAGCAATGCCAACTCCCCAGGTGCTGGCACACCTTCCTATCCACAGACTCTCTTCTGCAGATCACAAAGGGCCTCTTGGTCTGTAAGACATGCTTCTCACTTGTGAGCCCAGACATTACCCAACCCCTTGTTACATGGCACAAGGAACTGCTACTGTGTGCTCTGAAATAGACCTTGCTTTCCTAGAAAAAAGCCCAAATTTGTGCTAAAGGAACTAATGGCAGCTCCATCCTACAGGAGGGCTGAAATAGCCAAAAACACTGAGAATTAAAACACTGCTCTACCTTCTTGATGAGTCCAATCACCACCTACCTCCTCTCTGTTTCCTATGCAAATGGCTGTTTCCTATGGTAGTAAGGCACAAGTGAGCAGTGAGAACCACTCAAGATAACCAGAAGTTACCCAATTCTTACCAAAACTGATGTGAATTACATAAACAATTTTTTTTTGAGAACTCTGTCAAATGTAATGCAAAAATTGCTCTTAAGTCTTCTATTTAGGGTACTGGCTAGCTGTAAATCTCTAAAGGTAAATAGTCAAGTGGAAACACCAGCCAGAGTTTCAGCCATCTGAACAGTCCCAGGAACTCAGGTGTATTTTAGGTACTGAAAACAATGTTTAAAACTTGAGTCAAGATTCCTTTCCTTTAACTGAAGGTTCATAATCTTTGATGAGTCCCATAACCAAAACTGCCAGCATTACAAATGCACAGGCATCTCCTTTCCTGGATGTGGGTGGTTTTGATGCCTGCACTGGTTATAAGCAGCAATGTACTAAGGGAGTACAAAACCATGAAATTTAGGAAGATGAGTAATGTATGAAGTGTGGAGGAAGTGAGAGATGATCCTCATATTATGTGCTTTTATTTAATAATTTATAAATAAGTATCAGCTTTCCCCAAACTGCCCCTCTGCCTAGCAATTACATGTCGGCTGATTTCTGGTTACTGCTGTTCTTTTATAGTAACAAATTGTTCCCGAAGCCTCACATACAGAGAATTAGACAATCAAAGTACTGTGTGCGTTTTTCCACTTAATTCATTCAGTTAGCTGCAATTAAAACAATACAATTCAAGGCCTTGTGTATTTCTCTGAAAAAATACAAAACTTTACTTGTTCCTATTAATATATACAACCTACAAGAAAGAGTTAACAAAGCCCATTTTTCTTCACTGTTGTAGTAGAGTAATTTTCATATCTTTTTCTGTAGATACCCTGGCAGTCATCAATATTTCTTTCAGTTGCTGTTCTTCAAAAGACACACACTTTTCATTCAACTGCACAGAAAAAAATGGAATCCAGTGGGACAAATTCCCTTGGTGAGCAGATCCACTGTAGCTGCCTGGGAAGGAATCTAGGTGAACGGGCAGGGCTTGCTTTAATGAGATGATAGAACCTATTTAGAAGGGAAGAGACAACATTTTATAAAGCAGTAATCAAATTTCTCTTAGATTTCACCTAGACATTTTACCTAAATATTTCACACGTCTGGAAAAGCAGTGTTTCATGGCTACTGATCTCTGTTCACCCCCTTTGTATAAATGGCATACCAAGTTTTAGCATGACTATAGAACCTTTTTTTGTTTTATGGAGCTTCACTAATGAAACCTAGTAACAATCTAATTAATGTTATACCAGATTTGAGGGTGCAAAAGAGAACAGAAGCTGTACCTGTCTCCACAAGAAAGTGATAAGCCACCCTATTAGAGCAGCTGTTACTGTCTCCCATAACACAAATCTCCCCCAAAACTGGGCATTATTTTCATCAGTCATGAACACAGAGTGTGCAGTGCTCAGAGAGCAGCAACATCTCTGCAATCGGAGGATGCACTGTATCTGTCTGAGTCTCATGATGTTTCCTTCTGTGAACAAAGTGTATCTCCACACTATTCTTGGTAGAAGGCTATCTTCCTGATGTGCCGGTCTTGGGTATGTTAATTCAGTATTGCAGAAGTGGTTCTTGACAGAGGCTTGATTCAGTCTACTCCTGCAACAGAGTAACAAAGCACTGATTTGGATCCTGTACTCTTAATTATGATTCCACTAACATAAATGAGCATTTCACTTAAGCTCAGATCGTCAAGAAAGAACTATTGTCTGCTTCGATAAGATGGTATGAAATTTATCCAAATATTTATCAAACTATGTGAAATCTTATTGGAAGAATGTATTCTGGGATTTTGTGAAAGTCCTTCAGGATAAAGTAACCACAAAATACATGTCAGAGCAGAGACTCCCAAACTCTGGTCTAAAGGGAGCTTACAGCTCATCTAGTGCTCACTTTAATTCTTTTCTTGCAATACACAACATCATAAAAAGGCCAGGACAAAATAAAGAACCAAAATCAGCATTTCTTTTCCAGAAAGGCAGACCTCTTCCAACCCCAGTTCCAAGAAACGTTGTCCAGTATTTTCCTTCCAGTTACTGTCTGTTACCACTGAAGATGAATAGATCACACAGACACAGGTCGAGGTGTGGTGAAAAGAAGAGCAGAGTTTATTTTTCCTCCCAGGATTTATAGGCTTCTTACCACGGCCAGGGATTGGATGGTCAGGATAACACTTTCTCACTGCACTGGCCATGAGAGATGCCCATCACAAGACATGTAACAGAAAGAATGTACACATATCTATGTTTACAGTCACTGTTCTGGGAAAGTCCTTAGAAAACTATGTTAGCAAGCTCAGAAGCTGAGTTTTCAGGGCAACAACTGTCGATCTACAAAGATGTTAAACAGTGATGAATGACAAGGCAATTCGCCAAACAAGGTACCTATTCCAAAGTTATTTTTATTAAAAGAAATATTAATAGCATACTCGTGGCATATGACTTTATGCTTGAAGGATCCTGCAATTTGCATATAATCTGGGTGAAAGAAATTTTGTTGAAAGACCGCATCTCCAACTATTAATGAATGTTCCCAGAAAGTCTAAAAGACAAAAAAACCCCCAAAAACAACCACCTCTGCTTGGCACTTTTTTTTTCCAAATGTGCTTCCTTAGCTTAGGTTGCTTTCGTAGACGTAACACTGGCAGACAGTAACTGTATATGTTCTGTAATAAACGTATTTTTGATATGGCATTTCAGGACAATTGGATTACTAAAAAAAAATTTTATAAAGCTACATTTATCATCAGTGTATATCAAGGATCATGTTATTACAATAAACTATATAGAGTAAGGCACTGTCCATGAAAACACGGAGATATTTCATATCACTTGAATATGCTGACATTATCAACTGACCTATAAGTACCAATAACATGTTCATTATCATCTACATTTAAGCTTCTTCAAGCTTTCAAGTGCCCTTATACCCAAAAACATGCAATTCAATTCCAGCAAGTACCTCAAAAAATCACATCAAGGAAGTTCTTTATTGGTTTCTCTCAATGACTTCCAGATTTAATCTGCTCTTCTATAATCACAGAAAAGGCTTCCTGTAAATATTTCATCTAAAAACACATGGAGGAAGCTAGATATTTTCAATTCTACAACAAAGGATTATGCAACTAGAAAACAGTTAATAACTATCCTGATGGAAAGTTATTTTTCTGGAAAAAGAAAGGTTTCACATCAAAATATTCTTCCAAATAGAAGTTAGTACAGAAACTTACCATCTCTCCTTGTAAGAAAATCTTTCATTCATAATGTTTGCTAGAAGACAAGATCTTTACTACACCAGAGAGCATGAGAAACTTATAATGCCCTTTCAGGCCCATGCATCTTGAATAGTTTCAATTACGAATGGACAAGTGTTCTTCATACCTTGTAGAACAAGGAAACAAAGAGGAGCAAGAGAAGTCTTTGAGTCCTCCAGAAACTCAGCATTTCCACCTAACTTTCTATTCAAGTATATCTACCCTTGATTATTGATACTAAACAAATCCATGGATGCACTGAATAGCAACAAATCAGCAGCAGATAATAAAATTAAACTGAGCTAGACATCATTGCTATATTGAACAAAACACATTCTTCCCTCCACCAATAATGGCTAGAGCAGACAGAAGTGTGAAAGTTGAGTGATGACAGACGTTCATGAGGGAAGGCAAATGGGCAGGCCTTGGCAGCTGTGTAAATTCTGTAGTTCGGTTCTGGAGGTTGTGGCTTCAGCCCCAGGTCCCAGTTCCTTATCACAAACCACTAGAGATCTCTTGGAGTAAATACATGACCAGCTCCTTCTCAGAGAGGCTCCATCAGATTTAAATATCATCCATACAAAAGGCCTGCAGCTGAAGCATCCTGCCATAGGCATGGCTACTCAGCACAGCTGTGGGCATGATACAGCTGAGACCCTTTCAGCTTAACAGAAGAAAATGTCCTGAGCACCTTCCATCCCTGCAGGCTGCTTGCCTTCTTGGACAGACCCTCAGGAACACAAATCAGCTGCTTTCTCTGAATCAGACCCAGAGTACCACACATTAATTAATGCTGCCTGAATCCCAGGAATATCCTGGAGACCATAATCACAGATCTTGGCTATACTCCGCTAGGTACTTCCCATGCATTAGGCAAAAGGCAGGCTCTGTATGTCAGGGCTCCGCCAACAAAGGGCTGTCCACCTGCAGCAGAACCTGCAGAGCAGCAGCTTTTGAACCACTCCACAGTCTAAGCTGCCATTCCCAATATCCGAATGTAGCTAGCTCAGCCTGTTACTGTCAGTCTTTCTGAAGTCTGACAATGAGGTGACCTGCACAAGCACCAGTGGTCACAGCCATCCAGGTGCTCCAGCTGACACAGAATACAGATGAAAGTCACGTATGGGGCAGCCTTGCTTTGCATTTTGGTGCAGATGTACACAGAGAAAGGAGTGAGGGCAGAGCTGAGACAGTGGGAAGCTTAGAGAGAAGGAAGGTGACTTACTTCAAGTTATTCTAAAGCACATTACAGATCTGTTAAATCATTGTGGCTTACCCTATATTTCAGAGTAAATTAGTAACTTTTCAGAAGGAGTGAAGAAACTACCACTCCACTTTTAAATAATGAAAATGCTAAAAAACCTACACTTAACAGATCTAAAACTGCAGCAAGTCACCCACCAACACCCACTCCTCTTGTCAGCAGGCTTTTTTCAGCTTTGCCTATTATTTGTGTTAAGTCAGAGATGTCTAATGTTTGCTGTGCTTATCTGCTCAACTTTCAGGAGTCCCAAATGTTACAATATGTACCTATGCCACTGACCTTTTTCCCCACAGCATTTTCATCTAAATAAGTAAAAACCATAGAGTTTCCAAAATCATTTAGATTCACTGCTCTGAGTGCATAGCTGTAAAAAATATGCTTTAAGATTAACATCCAATTTTATTCATGCCTGAGGCTTTACCACAGCATCTATTTTTGTAAGATTAACAGTAAGATCCCAGTTCTCCAGGAATGTAAAGAGTAACAGACAATTGTAAAAGGAAGATGATGTTTCCTAACTTGCCCTGCTCACATCCAAGAAGGTACATTTTCCTAGCCCTTTCCACATTGGGCGTAATTTCTATTTGCATTTTTGCACCCACAACATACACTATGTTTATTAGTCCTTCCACCTCCCATTAGCTAGAATGCAAACTGTGGGTGCCAAAAAATACTAACATAAATCTCACATGTGCAAAGCATCCCCTGAAAGACAGCTTTTACTCTGGAGAAGTTAAGAAACAGCCATCTTCCAGTACCTTGCACAAGAGCAGTTTGAATCATCTAACTTAAAAACAAAAATATAGAAAATGAGCACTTGATATTTTGGCTTATCCATTTGAAATGAGTATACATAAAAACATTTGTTTTTGGACATGGCAACCTGAAGACAAATTGAGGGCCATTTTTAACCTAAACATCAGAGGAGATGTTGTTTTAAATAGTGCTGTTGGTGTCTGTCAATTAGAGCTATTGCATTACCGTCAACTTGCATTCCTGCTTTAGTTCCAGTTTTGCTCCATCCTACACAGATCTGTACAAATCAATTGTCTCTTGCAAACATGCACTAACCACTGGAAAGTAAAATTAATAAAGTGTGAGAAAATCTGATTCATAAAGCTGACACTCCTGTGTCCAACAACTCTTCATATAGGCAGGCAAAGTGGTAAAAGATTATCAAATTGCAACTGTCATTCCTGACAAAATGCATCTCAATGCTGGAAGGAATTCTAGGTTTTAAGCTAAACCACCACCTCAAAGAGTTCCTCAGAGCCTGTCAATACCTGTACTTTGGATGGAAAGCTACCACTGAGCGCAGTGTGCCCAACATACAGAACCTGCCACAAAATGAAGTTCTTCATAACATCTCATCTCAGTCTTGGCTGGTAACAATAACAAGAAGACAAGATGAGACCATCAGTCTTAATTGTGAAGACAATGTTTTCCTCCCATATTATTCTGTCTGTCATGTTCCCTTCAGGTTCCAAAGGAATCCCTGTCTCATATATCATTATTTCCCACAAAGCTTGAAAGCACTCAGGGGGGGCTTCTTCCTGCCCACTCTACCAGCCTTGAAGTCTGAGTACCTTCAGAACAGTGACAGAGGCCTCTGCCAGCAATAAAGGGGAACATCTGCATACCAATTAAACTGCTGAGTGCTGAAGAGTAAAAAAAAAAGGAAAAAAAAAAAAAAAGAGGGAAAAGCGTTGAAAGTAAATCTGAGCCAAGTTCTAATTAATGCCCTAGGCCCCGATTCACCACAGCACTTATGCATGTAGTTAACTTTAAGCATGTATTTAGTTCTATTGAAGTCTAAAGACAGCATCGAAGAGGCAAACTACATTAGCACAATTTAATACTCTTTGGGTTAATTAATCAGCCATAAAAATTTACTGTGAGATCTGTATTCCTTATTTCCCTCACTATGACATTTCCAGATAAAAATACTTGAATGTGGCTGGAATAAGCAACAAAAAGCACTACTCGTTTGGCTGTCATGGGGTGCTTGGTTCTAAAAACACTGAAGGCCAGTCCCTAAGAACAGCTGTAGGAATTAAGCTCTCTCCACAGCCTACTGTCTGTATCTTCTGTGTAGTTGCAGTTCACAGACACAAAAAGCACAGCCCTTGTCCTGAGAAGCAGTAATTGAAGAAACAAAAAGAACTTGCAACAGATGAGCAGAGCAGAGCCACTAGGCTCACATCAGACACATCTTTCCTTTTCTCTATAAAGGGGGATTTGCTCACTGCAGCACATCAGTGTCAGCTGTGATTGGAGATGACAAGGAAGGGCAGCAGATGGGGCTGGGTAAGCGAGGGCGGCTGAGAGCAGATGCAGGTTTGGAGACAGAGCTGGTGAGGTTCCCAAGAAGGCACTATCAGGCAGAGCTGGGGTGAGGGAAAGAGTGCTGATGTCTAAAGGCTAGGCTTGCCCAATGTGGGCAAGGGCTAAACCCTCCTCAGTTTCAGTGCAGCAGAACTAAACCTTGTAAAAAAGAAGCCCAGAATGCAATCTCCACTTAGCTGAATTGTCCTAGATATATCCAATCCTCTTCTCTACTTGGCAAGTCCAGCATGGAGAACAGCTGCCAACATTGCACCAACAACACACTGGGTAGATGTGGCCTAAACATGGTCTCAAAGGGCCAAATGTCACCAACTTTTGAGGTCCTGTTGACTTTAAAAATGCATGTGTAACAACCAACCATTCTGTAAATCGGGAGAGAAGCTGGCTGACAAATGTGTTCTTGCTAGGAATTTCTGCAAAAATGAAGCCCAAGAAAGTTTGCTATCATTAATACTATACATGGACCTATAAAAGAAAGAAAAAAAGAAAGCAGAGGACATAAACTCCTGATTGACAATACTTCTTTATCACATCCATCATGAAAACAAAAAAGAACAAAAACAACCCTCCAAAAATTAGAACATGAGAATAAAAGAAAGTATCGGCACAGCTTTTCAGATTAACTTTGAATTTCCTTGCTTTCATTGGTTTAAGAGCTCTATTGTTACTCCCTTGTTTTTTTTAATTGTAAATACTAAAACTTATTTTATCTTTCAAAGTCTTTAGAGTATATTATATAATTATGTAATTAAGGCCTCTTTCAACTGGATATAATTTACTCTATAGTTTACAACAGCTGCACTAGAGCCATTACAGTTTATCATTTAAAAGCTTAATTAGAGGCTTCTTAATTAGTGGATCCTTCAGTCACTAGACTGTGACTGTGTAAAATATGCTTGGCAGCTATTGCATTTTACAAATCTGCATGAAATGTTTGTGTGAAAACAGGGTGTGTAAAAGTCCAAAAACACAGTGCTTGTCCTTGCAGGTCAGCCCATCCAAGCATGCAGAGCTCCACACGACATCCCCACTCCCCTTAGTGCCTGGCTGCTCTGCACACAGCCTTCCCCTCATGCCTGTGTTGCTAGGAACTCCCAAAACAAGACCCCAGCCTCATTGAGCTGATGTGACTGTTGCCATGTTCAAACATGATCCAAAGAGAGGATGGGGTTGTGCCCACTGACTGCCCAGGCCAGGTCTTGCATGGCTCATCAAAAACTCTCCAGCAAACTCAGCTTCTCACTGGTGCTGCCATCTCCCTCAGGAGCTCTACTCCATGCTGGATTCTGCACACACTTCCTCTGTGCTGCCCAAAGTACTCATATCACTAGAAGGAAGAAGAGGGGGAACTAGCCTCTCATTTATAGTCACTGACACATATTTCTCATTAATCACCACCAAACTAGCAGTTGGTCACTGAGATTCTAAGTGCAATATTTGCCCAGAGAAAGAACTTCATCCTCCCCTCTGGGTAGCATAATTCTGGGGAGCAGCTGGTGGAACTAAAGTGAATCTTA